TCGGATCAACAGCGCCAACCTGGGCAGTGTGACCGTGACACTGAGATGCTGCTCGCGTGGTAAGACTGAAGAGGTGAAAGTAGTTGTGTGTGTCGAGTTTCTGACCTTGCAATGCTGTCTGTGCCACTGAGATCTGCAGAGAAACTTTGGTAAAGTTTGGGGTTCTTTATAGGGTTAATTTCTCATTGTCTGAATCCAGCAGAAGTCAGAGGAAAACTCAGATTTCAATCCTGTAGAAGTGATGCACTGGGAAGGGATTGCAGATTCCCTGTGGTTTCTGACACAGCTGGGACATTCCTCCCATTGCACTGTCCATGTGTGTCCCACACAGGGCTCCATCTGTCACCAACCGTGAGACACGAGCGAAGAAACCCCTGCAGTTACTCATAAACTTGCTGAAGTGGTCGATGAAGCCTCACACACACACACACACAGGAGCCACAAAGTGAAGCAGCAGCACTGACTCAGTGCTAGGCTGGTGCTTCATGGCTGGGACCGATTCAGGAGTGACAAAGCAGAGTGTGTGGCAGTGCCAGCACTGAGCACGGGTCACTCGTGGTGTTTCTGTCCTTTGGTCCTTTCTCCTGGAGCAGGAAAAGATCAGTGCCTGGGGCTGCCTCCGTCTGGGAAGTGTTCACAGTCACATGCTCCTCATCACTCGTGCCATAAACCACATTTTTTCTTATATTCCCTCACGGTCTTTTTCATATACAAGACATGTGAACACATCACTCGAATGAACTTCTTTACAGCTGTGGACAGGTTTTATATTCCCGTGAGTCGATCCAGACACAAATTAAAAAGAAGTGCAGGAGTAACTTCCTCGACAAAATTTATACTGGAAATACTTTCTGTGAAGAACTAGTCTGAATTCTGCTCGTTTCGATTCTAAAATTAAAATTGTATTTTTAATCGTTAAGTAATCGTTAACTGATGAACAAATAATTAACTGAAATGATGAAACAAATCATTAACTGAAGTGATGAACATATGATGCAAACATGCCATAAAGCTCCTGACATCTTACATTTCTAGAGTTAAAAAAAAAAAAGGATTAAACTACTGTTTTCACAGCTTTGCCGTTCAAAGACCTGTTCCCTCCATCCAATTCCAGCTATTAAGGGACAGCTCCCTCCTCTGGAGCGTTTTATCCTTGCACTGAGAACATCGGGCTGTGGTTACTGAATTCGGGAACCTCTTTTAAAATCACCTTTGACCCACTGCACAAAGCCCAAAATACCTTGGATTGACTGAATATAGAAATAAATTCACCTGTGTACGGGTTGACACCACCGAAGAAATCCTTTTCTGTGCTCTTGTAGGTTGGTTGGAACATCTGTAAAACAAAGCCATTTAACCTCGGGGCATTTGCAACTTTAATTTAAATTAAGCACATTTCCCCAGCCAAAAACAAAACCCTTGTTTTGGGAATTGGAATATTCTCCGTGGAAGGAACTGCGTTTTCTTTACAAACAGGTGTTTCTGGGGATGAATCACAGAGGAAAAGATGAATTAAAAATAGGTGGGGGTGTGATTTCTGTGAGAGGCTTCTGAGCAGGGAGAGTTTCTGATTTATTGATTCCACCACTGCTCGGGGAAATAGAAGTAATTTGTCTCTGTAAACAGAAGTGGAACAAAGAAACTTGTCTTCATTACCACTTTTTTCCCCTTATGGAAACACAGTGTTTTTCTAATTTCTTGTCCGAAAAGAAAAACACAATTACTATGTAGAATAATTACAGCTAAATTAACCCAACCTTTCAAACCCGATTGCCACGTAAAGCTGCATATTCTACTGCCAAAACATACAAAATCTTCTGTTTGTAAGATTTAATACTTCCTAATCTAGTTAGTGGTTAGCAAAGCAAGTTAAGGAAATAATTAGTCCAGAAAGGAATGGAATTTAGGAAGCCTGGTTGGAATTTGATTGAAATTGGCCAACAGGATCAAACCCCTTGTTCGAAGGGGGCTGACAGAGAGACTGACAGATCCCAACCTGCCTTGAACACCTCATTTTCCTCAAGAAACAGGAGCTCTGTGGGGCAGAACAAAATTTCAGTGCTTTGTGATCTACTAAAGTAGTGTTTAAAGTGACTGTATGACATAAAATTCAGATTAGATTAGCAAGATATAAACATAAATAAATCTAAATGCCAAATAGCTGAAATTTGCCTAATTTTAAGATGTGATTTCCCACTAACACAGCTGCGATGGGACCGGTTGTGCTGAGGGTTTATTCCATGAACAGCTTTGCCAACAGAATATTTAGAGGTTTTTTTTTTGTTTTTTTTTTTTTTTGCAGAGGAAATGCTGCTCCCTCAGGAATAAACCCCTCCAAGCACAGAAAAGGGCAATTATCCATCTGACAGATTTGCTCTGCCATACATTACGTGTAACAAACCAGGAAATGGGGCTGAAATAGAAAATAAAGTGCGAATTTTCTGCAGCTTTTCTAATGGAACTGCATTAATCCACACAGAAACAATCAGTAATATTTCCATGTCACCTAAACTCAAAACCAGAAGCGTTTTCTGGAACAGAAGCAACCTGTGCTGGGGCTTTTATTTGTTTGTTTGGGTTTTTTTTTCCCCCCGACTTATTATTTTATCAGCATGTGGCTGGTTATTCATTTCCTGAGGAAAAACCAATAATCAATGTCTGCCAGCACTTGCTTTTTATTTAATTAGGAACACAGGACTGGAAAGAACCTCTTAGATCACCAAGCCCAGTCTCTAATTAAACAATCTTCGGAAATATCGATTCATCCAAGTTGCATAAATATGGTCAGTTTTGTAACACTCTGTCTCTGCAGAGACTGTGAGTGATCTTCTGCTTTTTTTGCTTGTAAGGATTTTTTTGGTATAAAGAGTGACTGTTATTTTCAATGCAAGGAGCTCATCCTGCAGACATCTGATTTTCAGTGATTTTATATGATACAATTACAGTGCTTTGCACTGGAAATTAGCAGCATTTGATCTATTATTATTATTATTATTATTATTAAATCTTTGTGTTAATTTTCATATTTCAAGTGCCTCAGTCGGTTGAAGAAATTGGCCTTCTCTAAAAAGTTAAGATAAATGGATTCAATCCTAAAAAATCTATTAGTGTGTTCTCCCTATATTTAATGTATTCTTGACTGTAAAAGAGGCTGCTGCAACTGGGCATACACATTTCAAACATTAGCTGTTAAAATAATTTTAACCAGAAAGTAACTTCAATTGATTTTGTCGTACTAGAAGGAATACATTAAATTACCAGCAACGTTATATGTCAAATTTGAATTTATAGAGGAGGGAAAACCCGATTCCTTTAATGTATTAATATTTTTCATTAATGTCTATAATTTTCTTTGAATGAAGAGGCTGTAATTTAAGCCAGATACCCTTCTATGGACTGAGCTGTAAAATATGAGGACGATTTTACAGCCTGGAGCCTCTCCTGTTCCTGCAGCCCAGATCCTTACATGGCACTTTCTGTGCCCAGCTGCCAAGTCTCTGAGGGCTCAGCGTATTTATTCCAGGTATTTATTCCAGCCTGGACAACTGCAAACTGCTCAGTTTGAAATTCCTACCTGGCTCTGGCTGGCATCTGGATGGAGAGGAGCTTGGGATCACTCCCTGTCCTGGGGCTGGAGGTGTCCAAGGAAGGGGCTGGAGCGGCAGGAGCGGCTGAGGGAGCTGGGGGGACTCAACCTGGAGAAAAGGAGGCTCGGGGGGACCTTCTGGCTCTGGAATTCCCTGACATCCCGTGGGCTGGGATGGCTTTTCCAACCTCAATAATCCTGTGATCCTGTGAAGTGAGAAAGGGCTCAACAGGCACTATTTTAAATCCCATTCCTGGGGCTGATTCACTGGGGGGGCTTTCCAACATTCGATACTTCTAATTTAACCCTCATCCCCATCAAGGTTGGACAGGCCTTACAGCAACCTGGGCTAGTGGAAGGTGTCCCTGCCCATGGAATTAGGGCTGGAATGAGCTGGTCTTTAAGGTCCCTCCCCACCCAACCCATCTGGGATTCTGATGTTAAAATCCACGCTAGAAATGAGCAGATGCCATGGGCAGTGATATAACCCCCCTAACCACAAGGGGATTTTATAAAGAACCTCAAACATGTTGTAAATAAGCAAGAGTTGCAAAGTGATGTATTTTTCCAAATCAGACTCCTTTGCGTTTATGGAATTTGGGTCTTTCGGAGATGTTGTTTTAACTGCCAGTTTTATGAGGCTGCCCCGGAGTCAGCCCACACACTCACCTGTGCACTGAGCCAGGAGACTCCTGGAATTCTGTTCATCTCCCAAGTGATTCTGTGAACTGTTCTTGGTTCAAGGAAAGGTTTCCTAGGAATTTGTCTTGTTGCCCGGGTTTGGCACAGTCACGTAACATAGTAGTGTGTGTTCTCCAAACCACACCGTGTCTTCATGTTCCTAATGCTTAATTCCAGCTCCCTGATTGAGCTTGTTCATGGAAATTATGTAGTGAAGTGCCTGCTTTCCTCTGTAAATTGACAGTTGTGCACTGAGCTGTGAGGCTTCTGGAATTCCTGGCTATGACACTTGTGGAATTTACCGGTATGTTGTGGACTCCCCATCCCTATGGGAAGCGTCCAACGCCAGGCTGGACAAGGCTTGGAGCAACCTGCTCTGGCGCAGGGTGTTGGAACCAGACCACCCTCACTGTCCCTTCCCGCCAGTGCGTTCAGTGACTCCACAGCACATCCCACAGGGAGCGGGGACGGATCAGCCCCCTCATCCCCTCCCGCCCTGGAGCCCCCTCAGCCGCCCGGCCCCGCCCTCCGCGCTTTGGCGCCAACCCCCCTCAGCCAGAGCTCGCGAGACGCGCGGCTCTCGCGGGACTTGGGGGGTCCCTCACGGCCCGGCCCGGGCCCCTCACGGCGGGACCGGCGCGGAGCCCTCTCCCCGCCGTGATCTGCCCGGGAAAGAAAGGGCTTCTCCTTCGAAACACAAACCCGCCCGGAGCCCGGGGAGCGCAGCCCTGCCGCCCCCGCCCCGCCCCAGTCCCTGGAATTCGCTTCGCTGAAGAGCCGGGAAAGGGACTCCTCCTCCAGACCGCCTTTCCAAGTAAGCTGAGAATCTGGGGAATTACCCCCCCCCCCTTAACCTTCGATATCGGGGACGTGAGTTTGCGCAGCTGCCCGAATAAGCGCTGTGGTTATAAATCTATTTATTTTGTTTTATTCCTGCCACTCCCGAGTAACTTCGGCGAGTTGAAACATGACAAACCCTTTTGTTTTATTCGGCGGGGTTGTGTCATCCCTCAGCGTGGCATTGCTGCTTAATCTGTGGGACGGTCCGGTTTCTGCTTGGCAAATCTTCGGAAAATCTGTAGATTTACTGTGTATAACTGATGTTTCTCTGCCTCTGTGGCAGCCTCGCTGCTTCTCTTTAACGCTTTTGGTGTTTGTTTTGTTGGGTTTTTTTGCAGGAGGGGAATAAAAGCTGCTTTGTGGCAATGTTAGATCCTTTGGAGAACAACCTGTTTGATCTCCCTGATTACGAGAACACCGAGGACGAAACATTCCCACCTCTCCCACCTCCTGCCTCTCCTGGAAGAGACGATGCTGAGTGGGCTCAGGCTCATGCAGGTGAACACCCACCCCCGAGCCCTAAAAATCGCATTTTAACACTGTATAATCAAAATTATCCATGTTGTGCTTCACTGCCTTTGAGTTCACTGCATGAAAACAGTCAGAAAACCAATGGCAGATTTAAATTGTTAACCATTCTGTGCTTTCCAGCTTGTGGGGAGAGTTTATCTTGGTGGATTCTGTGAAAAATATGTAAACAAAGGGATCTTAATAGAATTCAAGCTCTTCTGACAAAGTGATGCTGGAGAGATAATTATCCAGTGATGATCTATAGCTACACTTGATAACTTGGAATTCAGAAGAGATGAGAGTGTTGAGTGTAATTTTCCAGGGAGTTATTAGTAGATTTTGTAGGGCATATAACCCAGGAATAATACCACTCTGTCAGTTCACTAGAAAATAGGATTTGGGATAGATTTAATTCTTTGAGGCATGAAAAGGAGAACTTCTGAATTCCTGAGGGTCAAAGGAACAAAAAATAATGAAAAAGTTGCACTTTCAAGGAACTTACTGTGTTAGAAAAGTTGATTCTTTGTATTTTGCAGAGAAGGATTTGCTTAAAATCTGTCTTGTGGGAGAAGCAGCATGAAACATGCAGGTATTTTTTTAAATACTGTACCTGCCATGGAATGCTTGTGATGCTGCTTTTCTGGTAGGGCAGAAACTTAAAATGTGTACATGATGCAGTTCTAGCTGATGTCAGTTGAATTATATACTCAATTATTTACTCAAAAAGTGTTCCCTTCCCCTTCCCTGGGTGCAGATGAGAAGCAGCAGACACAAAGCAAGGACTCTGCTGTGGTCCCACGGAATGCTCTTAAAAGACCAAGGCCCAAACTGGATGCCCAGAGGTAAAATTTTGACAGGGTATCTCTTTTTGTGATGAATTTGGCTGTGGGAGGAGGAGGAAGGGTCCTGGTGATCCCTGCTGAGTGCAAGATCAGGAGATGGGAAGTGCCTTTGGGATGCAGTGGCTGAACCTTGTATTCCCTGCCTGCTGTATAATGCTATTTTTAGCCACACTGGCTTGAATTCTTCTTGGGACTTGGTACATGACTGGTACTTTAAGAGATACTATTTATAAATATTTATTGTTTACACCTGAACATCTTGATTTTCTTTCAGGCACAGAACTGTAGATTTCTTGGTTTAGTTCAAGTCTGCTTCAAAATAAAACCTCAATATAATGGGGCCTGTAAGACACTAAATAAAGCACACTTACACCTGATTTATGTACAAACTGGATAAACTATAGAAGGGATTTTTATGTTTTCTTTGCTGTTATCACTAAAACTGGTGTAAGTTCCTTACAGCCAATAAAGAATCCAGGCACTGGTGGGTTAGTCAGTGGTACCACAGGTGAGTGCTCTGGGCACACATCAAATTGGGTTAATGTGGCCAATAAATATTCTAGGACTGACCTTTCAATTCTCTTTCATGTAATCAAAAGCAAAAAGCTGCCTGGACCAGGACTACAAGTACTGTCAATTAAAAAGATCAAAAAGGTGTGGGTCTTGCAGCAATCTTTGTCCTATTTTGTGCATTTTCTTAATGACTTCTGTACTTCTTTCAGGTAGAGCTCTGGAGCTTTGGGCTGTTTTAAGGAATTTGAGAGGGTTTTTTTATGTTTGGGGTTTTTTTACTTGTTAATTGAAAGAAGAAAGCGAGTTTCAAATGACTTCTCCTGTTTCCTGTTACAGGTTAACCTCAGACAGGGGACTGCCAGCCCTGAGACACATCTTTGACAACGTCAAGTTCAAGGGCAAAGGGCACGAGGTGAGACTTGGGCAGCGGGAGAGCCATGTGGGAGGGGGAAGGAAAAGTTACCCACGTGTTCATCCTGCCTAAATTTTCAGGAGACTCTGGAGCTGCAGACACTTCATGTTTTCAGGAGTGTTGCTGTCCCCTCTCCCTCTGCAGCCCCCTGACTTTGCCAGCTTTGAGCAGCCAGCTGTTGTTGCTTTTTATGCTGCAGGCAGAGGACCTGAAGACACTCATACAGCATATGGAGCACTGGGCACACAGACTGTTCCCACAGCTGCAGTTTGAGGATTTCATTGACAGAGTGGAGAGTCTGGGAAACAAAAAGGAAGTGCAGGTATGTCGTGCCCTACGGACCAGTCCAGGAGGTTGGTTTGGGAGATCAGTTATGCAGCAAAAGGAGCCTGAAGTTGTTCACACTGCTCAGAATTATAAGGTTACTTAAATTAATTTCTCCCTGTTTAAAGCCCTTTCCAGTATTTATATTTAGATGTAAATACTGGATAATAATTTGAATTAATAATTCAGAGAGTTGACTTCAGGACATCTTTAACCAGAGTGAGTTGTTTCAGAGTGCTGGGGCAGGTTGGGTTTTGGGGTTTTGGTGCTTGTTTTTTCATGTTTGAACCTGCCAAAGAAGATGAAGAATGTCTTCTTCACCTGGCTGGGTGATGGGTGTAGGACTGGGAAAAATGATCTGCAGCACTGACAGTTGTGGGTCTGACAGACATGGAGTGAAGGGAGTATTTTTTCTGAGTAATAAAGTGTAAAAGTGCTGTGGTTTTAACATTGTTTCCAGTGTTGACCAAAAAAAGTTGCTAAAGCTGAAATACCACTATCTAATCTCTCCTTTGCAGACCTGCCTAAAGAGGATTAGACTTGATCTTCCTATTTTACATGAAGACTACAAAAATAATGAAGGTATGCTCTCTGTGAGGTTTGTCAGTGCTTAAAATGACTTCACTTCCCTTTCTACTGACCAGAAATTAATGGTCATGATACGTTTTTCTAATGTGGAAAAAATTGCTGAGTGGTCTCTGTTTTAAAACCAAACTTCTGTGAAACTTGTGATTAGACATGAACAGTTTTTTAAGTACAAGAGGAAGGAAGCAGAGGTAGCTTGAAAGAAGCTTTATTAGCAGAAATGGAGAATTCCATCGTCATTCCCAAGGTGCTGGGCAGGTTTCCACCCTTCCATCGGGGAGTCTCTCCTGAAACCATCGTCCAGGTTGTGTTCACGTGAAGATCAGACTCCATCCTGCCAGTGCCTGGGAATGTTGTTCTGGGGGCTGAGTTCCCCTGGTGTCCCCCGTGGGCTGTTCTTTGGCAGATGGTGACCCGTGGCTCGCCCTGCCCGTGGGCTGCACTGGCTGGAGGTGGGTGCAGCCCTGGGCAGCCACACACAGTGACACGCAGTGACAGTGGGTGCTGCCGACAGGCCCTGCAGAGCCATCAGGCGTCCTGTGCGATGCTCCCACACATTTGGGTTCCTCTGGGCTGCTCTCAGCTGGGGGTGGTGCTGCAGCTGCTCTGCGGAGCGTGGGGGGGCATCTCCCAGAAACCAAACCTGGAGCTGGAGTGCTGTGTGAACAACCAGCACCCACCCTGTGTCAGCTCACGCTTCTGTCCCCAGGCTCAGGGGGTGCAGAGGTGCTCCAAGCCCCGTCCAAGCTGGCCTTGAAAGTTTGGAATTCCCATAGCTACTCCTTCCGCTTCCTAAAGGACAGTGTCACGTGAATAGGGGGGGAAGAACATTTCCTGGCCTTTCTGTAAGGATTGCCTGGATTTACTGTGTCCTTTGAACCTTCAGGCACAGGTCCTGTAGCTCCCTCAGTACACAGATAGACACTGATTATTGTAGAGGGATCTCTGATGAGCAATTCCTGTATACTTTTGAAGATCAGGTATGTGGACCTTGGCAGAAAATTACCCATTAAAACTAAACTATGGGGTGATCTTCAGCTGCCAGTACAACTGTAAGATGTAGAACATAGAAATGCTTTGAAAATGAACTTCTGATAGGTGTGTAGTGGGTTTAAAGTGTTGATTTGCGTCCCTCTTCCCCCTTCCACCCCTCATTTTTACCCAGAAGGAGAAGAGGAAAGCAATGGACTGGATGCAGCTGCTGCAGATGCACATTCCAGCTCTGGGAATGCAGAAGAACTGCAATGCCTGCCTGGCACAGCTCTCACAGAGGAGCAGCAGGAGCGGATGAAGAAGAACAGGCAGCTGGCACTGGAGAGGAGGCAGGCGAGGCTGCAGGGGCTCAGCCAGGCCCAGCCCAGCCAGGCCCAGCCCAGCCAGGCCCAGCCCAGCGGTGAGAACCTGGGTCAGGGGTTACCCTCAGGGCAGCTGCTGGGGAAAGGGGATGCAGGGGCTGCTTTGCTGATAAGGGGCAAGATGTGCAGCTCTGGCATTTCAGGAGTTCCCTGCAGTCCAGCTCCTCACTGCTCTGTGCCCAGCCAGGATAGCTTTGGCCTTGGTGAAGGGAGCTCAGCTTGCTGGCTCTCTCTGAGCTGCCTTTCCTGCAGACTGGAATTCTGGTGCTGGAAACAGCAGGTAAGCACAGCAGGTGTTGGCTCATGCTCTCCCTGTTCTCTCCAGAGCTGCCCCCCAGTTCCTCAGGAGAGGAGCTGCTCACTCAGGATCCCACTGACCTCACTGAAGATGCTCCAGTTCCTGCAGCTGCTCTTACAGAGGATGGAGATGGAGCGTTGGGATGTGCCAGGGAAGAGCAGTAGCTGTTCCCACACTCTGGATGCCTTTTTGACCCACAGACCCTCGTGGTTGAAGTCCTGTCATTAAACTGAGGTGTTGCTGGCTCGCTGCATCCACGAGCTCCAGGGCCTTCCTCACCGTGGCACTGCTGGGCTGGGGCAGAGCTCTCCCTGCAAGCTGCAGATGAGCAGCTCCACACACCAGGAACCACAACAGACTTCTCCAGCTGCACTTAAACCATCTTTTCCACCTCCCACGACATTTTTAGGATATATTGAGGTTTTTTACTTACTTTGAATTTAGTTTATAATTTATGCCAAACTGAATTACCTCGTATGTTGACAGGTGAATTTCTATTAAAGTTGTGCTGCTTGGGGTTTTTTAACAGCTCTGTTTGGGTCTGAACAGGGGGACTGGAATTTTTGAACATGTTTATGCAGACCTGCATCTTTTTCTTATAAAATTAAAGTTATTAAATTTCAGAAGTCAAACCTGAAATTCTTCTATGAGGCTGTTCCAAGGCCAGGCCCTCCAACCTTCCCCATCCCTTGGGTAACACATCTCTTCCCAGAGAGATCCCTGCTCTCAGCCTTTGGCTTTGAGCAAATCCCTGACCCTCCCTCACCTGGTTCTGCTCTGTGCTCGAGGCTCTGCTTCACCCTCTTCTCACAGTCTGGTTTTTCCCTGCACAACAGCTTTCCCCTGCTGTGGAATGAAGAGGAATCACCCCCTCCAACAACCAAAGTACTGAATGAAGCAGTAACCTCCCGGACACGGGTGGATTTTATGCTGATGTGCAGCTCTGGCTTTTCACTACACAGAATTCCCTGTTCCAGGTTAGTGTGAGGAGTTTGCCTTTTATATCCTTGTAGAAATGAGTTAAACTCAGGGATTTAGAGTGGAACAAGGAAGCGTTTAGGTTTTAATAATTTATGGACAATGCGAGGAAAGGATTTTTGGAATGATATTTAGAAGGATTCACCACACTGCCTTTAGTCTGAAAGATGAGTTTTATCACATATAAAATCTTTTGGTAACTCAATACATGTTCACAATCAGATAAAAATTATTCTTATTTAAAATAGACATTTAGCTTCTTATTAAAGGGACTCTTGAATATTTAAATAAACTGCTTTGTAAAACATCCCCCAAGCACTCGTGAGCAGGAGCAGCTGCTGGTGGGTCACAGCTCAGGTCTCGCCTCAGTTGACACATCCAGCAGCGCCAGCTCCCGGATCTCCTCCAGCAGCTGGTACAGGCTGGGCCCCTTGGTCTGGCAGAATTCCCGGTATTCCTCCTCCAGCACTTCCCCCCTGCCTTTCTCCTGGGCACGCTGGGCTTCCCCTGCCCCCTGACTGACCGCCTTGACCAGGTCAGCCCTGCCCATCTGGGCACTCGTGGGGGCAGCCTCGCGGGCTGCGTGGGGCTGAGGGGCATCGCTGAGGATTTCCAGCCGGATGGTGTCGGCGTGGCAGCGGGAGCTCTGCACCAGGATCCTCACCTGCAAAGCAGTCATTCTGGAAATTCCTGACGGTGCTCCTTCCTCTCCCCCCACCCCAGCTGCCAGACTCACTGTGATGTGATCGAAGAGGCGCAGTGTGAGCGAGCCCCCGCAGGTTGGAGTGGAGGTGATCTGGCCCTGGGAGCGATGCAGGGATCCAGGTTTCCACTCGCAGCTCCCGCCCCCTCCGCACGAGATGACCAAGCCCTCCTTGTTCTTCATGTAGGCAGCACCTTTGATTCCATACCTGCAACACAGAGAGCACACACAGCCTGCTCTGCTTTCACCCTCAGCAGTTCTCTTGGCTTTGAGAGAACTCCCTGGGGTTACAGAAGAGCAACACGAAGGGCAAGCACAGCAGCCTGGGAATCCTGCAGGAACACTGAGGGGGCTGCCAGAGAAACCCAGGGAGTACAGCACAACAGTGCTGAGACACTGAAGTGCTTTGAGGGCAGTGAAGCCAAAGTGAAACAGTGCTCCCTTATCTGAGGGTTGGGTGGGGCCTGGGATGGCTCAGTGAGGGGAGAAGAGCAGCATTACAGGTTTTTCCAGACAGCACAGTGAGGACACAGTTCTGCATTAAAAATAAGGTTACTTCAAAGCAGCAGCACGTGTGCCCTGGGTTCTCTCTAAGGAAGCTTGTCCCGGCTGGGGAGGTTCTGGCTCTTCAGCCATGCAGCCCACCCTCTGGAATGCACACCACATCTAGGAAACTTTAAAATGCACATTGAGAAGCTCAGAAATTCAAGCGTAGTGTTTCATGTAACTGCTTCCTGCTGGCATAAATCGGGCTGAGCTGGTTTGGAAACACCTCTGTGTGTCCTGGTGCTCCTGGCACCACGTAGGTGTGGTTGTTGAGCTCACTGAGCTCCAAGGGACCCACCTAGGCACGAAGACGAGGACGCCGTTGGTGCGGATGGAGTAGATGACCCCGTCGGCCACGCAGCGCTCGTCTGTCTCGGGGCTCCTGTCCCTGAAGTACATGCACTGGAACAGCTCCGTGGACTGTTTCTGAGCTCGCTGGGCTGCCTGGGAACACCCCCCACAGAAAGAGAAGATAAAAAACCCACATAAAGGTCTCAACAAGCGTGTTTGGCTCCGATTTCCACGGCTGCTTTTTCCCATTACTTACTCCCTTTCCCGTCCCCTAGAACAGTTACATCTAAGAGGGAATCCTCCAGGTGGTGCAGTGAAGTATGAGATCACTGTTACTTCCACTCTCAGAATAAAAAGTGATATTTTAAAAAGCCCCACAGCATTCCAAATAAAACCAAAGGGCTCCTGTGTCCTCACAGTGCCCCAAAGCCACAGTCAGGACAGGATTCCATTCCCTGGGGCAGCACAGACGTGGGGACTCCCCAAGGAGCACCTTACCCTGTTCCTGTTGTTGATGTGTCTGCACAGCTCCTCCAGATCCTTGCTGCTGCTGACATGGTCCTTGCCAGGCCCTGCAGCTCCCCCTGCCAGCAGCAGCCTGTGCACAACGATGTCAGCGTATCTCCTGATGGGGGAGGTGAAGTGGGTGTACTTGTCCAGGGCCAGCCCTGCCAGGGAGAGGGGAGCAGAGATGAGCAATCCAGCCATCCTCTGCCTCCCCGCCGCCCAGAAACACCAGAACAGCACAAAAACGAGCAGATACCATAATGGTGGAACTCCTCCTCGGGGCAGGAGCCAGTGGAGAAGTACAGGGCGTTGGCCATGGCGTGGGTGGCCATGGAGCGCAGCAGTTTGTTCACCAGGGGGTCCGAGGGGTCGTTGGCTTTGTCCAGGGACTCAGCCAGTGCTTTGTTAGACCTGGAAAACAGTGGGAGTCCTGAAGGAAATGACACTGTCCCTGCTCAGCAGGGCTTAGAGTTAACAACAGCATTTAAAACCACTGAGAAATTACAGTTATTAATACAGAGATGGAAAGCAGGATGATCTTGAGACTTTCACCCCAGTTTAGAAACAGCTCTGCTCAAGGAAAATGTTTAGGAACAAAAGAGTTTTAACCAACAGGCCTGTCTGCTGCAGCCTGGAGAACCAGGGACTGGAGCAAAACCCCATCCAGTGCACCACAGAACAGTGAGCTGGTCCAAAACCTTTCTGTCAGCACAAATGGGACAAGGTGACACCCAAGTCACAGAGGCCCTACTGCTGCCCTTCACTGTGATGTCCAGACATGACTCCCCCGATGTGATGAGGCTCGTGGCCTTCTCATTGTCTTGACCAAGTAACTCTGAATTATTCTGAGTCATTGAAAATGACCACATTGCACACAGCTCACCTGATTTAACCCAGTACTCCCTGACACAGGACACACGGTGCAAACAAGGCTCTTGCAGTGCTTACCCACTGCAGTGACTGAGTAAATGCTTTTTTGGGTATGTCTACAATGACTCAGCCACTGCCACTTGCACTGGAACAGTTTCTCCTGGTCAGAACATCATCAGAGAGGTTATTAAAAATCTTTTTAGGAATTGCTCTGCAGTGAACATTGACACTCAGAGCTGGAATGGTGTGTAATGATAACATGGCCAAACAGTTAATTGCTTAACTTAACTTAAAGAACTAAATGACCCAAAGGTACCGTGTGTCTATGGAGAAGCCTTTGGCACAGGCACATTCCCGGAGCTCCGTGAAGAATTCCTGCCGTGGGGGAGGGTGCTGACGCAGCAGAGCCTGGTGGGGGAAATCCTCCCAAATCTTTTTTGCCACCCAGTGGTTGGCCAGGATCATGCACTCTGCCACGGTCTCGTGCACCTCCAGCGGCTGCCGGGGGATGAGGTCGTGGATGTTCCGTTTCTCATCCAGCTGCACTCGGATCTCGATCCCCTCCAGCTCCAGGGCCCCGCTCCGGTCCCGCCTGGCCCTGGCGTGCCGGGCGATCTCCGTCAGTTTGGAGATGGCCCAGGCCAGCTCCGACACCTTCTTCTGCCTCGCCCCTTCATCCAAGTGCTCCAGCTCGGGGATGTCCCCCAGGACCCCGGGATCCCCATCCAGCAGTCCCTGGGCCACCTCGTACTCCAGCTTGTAGGAGGAGCGGATGACGCTCCGCGTGTACCGCACGCTCAGCGCTTCGTAGGATCCCTCCTCCAGCTCCCACAGGACACTCACAGCGTACCTGAAACACAACAGCCCGGCCCTGCAACAGCCCTGCTGCACCTCAACCTCACTGCAAGCACAGTCACCTACTGTGTGTAGGAAATGTCATTAGGAAATGTCCTCATTTAATTCTGGTTTGTTTTCTCCATGAAACTAGAGTTCAGCAACATCAGCAGTGTTCTCAATCCAGCCAAATCCAATGTTTTCAATCCCATCTAGGGCAGAGAACCCCTTAAGATATAAGGTCACATCTATTTTCAAGCGGTTACACTGCAATTGTTATTTTTATTCATTTTCATTTTATTAGATGCATCCACAGTGAATGTCTCTGTGTATCCTCATGCCAGCCACCAACTGACCCTGGGAACTGAAACAAAATGGGAGAGTGGCCTGTTTGAGGAACAGCACAACAGGAAAAAATGTGCCCATTCACATGGATGCACTTCTTGGCAGCAACACTGAGTGGCACTCCATAAAACTGCCCCTGGAATTACAGCTGGGCATTTAACATCCAGTGTTAAATCACACAGAAAAGAAGTTTACACAGCAAATCATTCCTGCTGCTCTCTGGGAACAGGGATAACACAGGTAGGAAACCTTGCTTTTGCTTCACAAGTCTTCTGTCAGCAGTTACTTTCATCCAAGAAAATACTCAACACTGATGAGAGATAAATATTACAAGAGCTCTCTAGTGGGGAAATGTGTCAACAACAAACGATTTCAGGAATGCATTTTTCATGTTTAAAGAAAAAAACCCAACCCCAATCTTCTCTGTGATTTCACATCTGTGTTCACCTGGATTCTGCTCAGCCAAAATGCTTCAGCACACACAGAATAAAGGATTCCAAAGGATAATCCTTTCAGCTACCTCTGGTAGAACTGAAAGGTATTTTTTAATGTACACTG